AGCTCCTGCGCGTCCTGCAAGTCGCCAACCCACTTCATGACCTAGCCGCCCATCGAAGTGAATTCTGTCTCGTTGAAAACCACCCTACCTATGCACCTCTCTGTTTATTTCCACCACTCAAAGCCTTTCTCTCGACTCATCCGCCATATCTCTTGGTTTGCGTTGACAACCGCTCTTTGCAGGTTCTATCACGCACCGGTACCTCCGGTATCGTGCATATCACTACCTGTACCTGAGGAGAAGTGGCGCGCTTGTCATCGACGCCTTTCGTCAGTTTGGTTGCTGGCCCTGCTGTATCCTCATTGAAGACATCGTTTAAACAACCTGAACTTATCACGAGGTTTCGTCTATCAGCTGCAGTTTTGAGTTTTGCGCTCGCTTGCCTCATGACTGCTTCCAGCTTGCGTCCTGGGAACGCCCCTACTGCAACCCTCATGTCACCTCTTACCCTCTCTTTGATGGCTTCTGTGCATCGATTTAAATTCGAGTCCCCGGTGATTATCACATGCTGTGACTTTCCAGCTGGAGCGTCCTGCATCTGGGGGCTACTTGCACCTGTGACGCCAACTGCTTTGTCCCCTCCCAGCCCCACCCCTACCTCGCTGAAGCTGGGCCTTGCGACAGTTGAACCGGCTAAACCTGTTTTTTCCAAACTTGCTTGCTTTTCCTTCTCTGGTTGCCGGCTCCCTACTGTTCTCTCCGTAGGCCGCTCCTTTGTTCAGCTTTACTAGTGCTTCCTCGGCGGACTTCATTCTTTCTCCCATTGCCCTCGTTTTCTCTTGCTCTGTCGCCAACGCAGTTTCGATCTCGGCGATTCTCATCAGCAGTTTACTCTGGGCAACCATCATTTTCTTCCACTTTTTTCCTCGACCTCACATTGCCTACACATCGCGTCAGCCTCTTCTCCATGCATTTCTACACTTCGGTCCACTTTCAAACCCACTCCACATCCTGAACACTTTACAGTCTTTTTAACCATGTCTTTCTGACACCAATTGTCCCTATACTCGATAATTACCAAACTCGAGCCCTGCACTACGAAAAAAAAGAAAGTCTCAGCTCTACTATCAAAATTTGCGGGTTCAATGTACGCGCACCTCCCCCACGGGGTGGCAAAAGAAAAAAAAATCAACAAAATTTCAAACACACACACCAGCACTACCTAATAAATACCTGGTGACTGGCCCCCGAAATAGCCGTACCATAAAACAAGTGCTACGAAGATTGCAACTGCTGCCTTATAATTATAAATACAAGCTCAAAACATGCAAAAACACTTATCTGCGCAGTCGATCGTGAGCGCTAAAAAGACATGTCCATCCACCGTGACAGTCCGAACCGAACTGATGGATGGATGGATGGATGGATGGATGGATGAATATGGCTGTACCCTTGAGAACAGGCGGTGGCTAGCGCCACAAAGCCGTAATACCTAATGAACCAAAAACTAGATTTATTTTTTTTCTTTAAAAAGTGAGTTGAGGATTCGTACTTTGCAGTGAAGAGTTTAATTTTCACTCGTGCCTTGACTTTAGCCACCAATCAGATAACCTCCTTCTAGTTAAGTCTACCCACTTAAAGTCAATTTTGCCCTCCCGGTCCTTAAACCCCAATGCTTTAAAAAACTCTGCGCCATCATCCTGAACTATAGGGTGAAGCCCTTTACAGAACATTATCAAGTGTTCGGCAGTTTCTTCTTCCTCTCCACACGCACTGCATACTGTGTCTACCCCGATCGTACTTGGCCCGATATGTCTTGGTTCGCATTACTCCCGTCCTTGGCCTCAAACAGTAGAGAACTACCCCGAGTATTATCATAGATACTTTCCTTAGCAATTTCCTGCTTAAAAGTTCGATAGATCTCTATTGCGGACTTCTTAATCATGTCCATTCTCCACATGTCAGTCTCCGTTTCCTTCACTTTCTTCTTAACCGATAGTTCTTTTTGGTTTGGCCACCTGCTGTTTTCTAAGTATTTATCAGTCAATTTCCTGGTTCGCTTCCTCCATTTTGTATCGACATACTTCATGTACAAGTAGCTGAAAACCTTCCTAGCCCAACGCTCCTCTCCGATTTCCCTCAATCGCTTCTCAAATTTTATCTTGCTGCTAGCCTGCCTGCCCTCAAATGATGTCCATCCCTTATCACCTTGTACTCCCTGATTTGGTGTATTCCCGTGAGCTCCTAAAGCATGCCTACCTGTTCCACGTTGCTTTAATTTCTAATCTTGCTTGAACTTCTGATCTCATGCACAATACTGCATTGCCGAACGTCAGCCCAGGAACCATGACCCCTTTCCATATTCCTCTCACAACATTATACCTATTGTAATTCCACAGTGCCCTATTTTTCATCACTGCTGTATTCCTGTTACCTTTAGTCGTCACATATATTTCGTGTTCCCTCAGGTACTCGGTCCCATTGCTTATCCATTCGCCCAGATATTTGTATTTATCTGTTATCTCTAGCGTGACCTCCTGTATTCTAAGCTCACTACTTTTGTTGTCATTGAAAATCATGACTGCTGATTTTCCCTTACTGAATCTAAAATCTAACCTATCTCCCTCATTACCGCAGATGTTCATCAATCTCTGCAAATCTTCCTTGTTGTTGGCCATTAGCACTATATCATTTGCGTACATTAATGCTGGTAGTGCCTGATCAATAAGTTTTCCTTGTTTGACTAAAGAGAGGTTGAAGCCCAGTCCACTTCCCTCTAATTTGGCCTCTAATCCTTGTAGGTACATCATGAATAATAAGGGTGACAGGGGACACCGCTGCCTAAGCCCCTGTTTTACCTCTGCAGGCTTGGATACCTGTTTTTCCCACTTTATACTACCTTGTTGCCTTTATAGATATCCTTTAAAAGACTAGTGACTCCATCTTCCAGACCTAGTGTGTCCAGTATTCCCCACAATTCCTCTTGAACCACGCTATCGTACGCTCCCTTGATATCCAAAAATGCTAGCCACAGGGGCCTGTGTTCTTTTTCTGCTATTTCGATGCACTGCGTCAGTGAGAGCAGCTTGTCTTCCAACCTCCTGTGTTTCCGAAACCCATTCTGCAGTTCCCCCAGCAGCCCCTCATCCTCTATCCATGCCTATAGTCTTTCCTTTATAATCTGCATCGCCAGCTTGTAGACCACTGATGTCCCTGTTATAGGACGGTAGTTGTTTATGTCAGCTTTGTCCCCCTTTCCTTTATAGGTCATGCTCATACTGCTAAGTTTCCATCCATCGGGAACTTCACCATCGATTATTATTTCTCACTGCCTCTCTCAAAGCCTGTTTAGACTTCGGACCTAATGTCTTTATCAGCATAATTGCAATGCCATCTGGGCCTGTTGATGTACTTTAGGAACCCTTTGCTCAGCCCTTTCCCACTCTCGTTGTGAAAATGGAGCCATTGCACCACTTGATTCGTCCTTTTGTATTGTGGTGCATAAAGTACTTCTTTGTTGGAATTTTTCTGTCACCCTTGTTCTTATATACTCAATAGCTTTGTCCCCTTCTAGCCTAGCACCTTTGGCTGTAGTTATAAAACTCTGCTCTAGGCTCGTCTCATTTCTTAGGGAGTTTAGATGGTTCCAAAATTTCGCAGCTGCCTTTCTATCTTTTTGTGTACTTCTGCCAGCCACTGATCTCCCTTTCTTCTAATCTTTTCATTGATCAGAAGGGATGCATCCCTTCTACAGCTTATAAAGGTTTACCATTTTCTTTCAACATCATCTGTCGGTTCACCCCGCTGCTTAGCATGTCTGTGTTCCCTAGAGGCTTCCTTACGTTTTGCTATGGCTCTCTTAACTTCCTCATCCCACCAACTTTTTGGTTTGTGTCTTCTTTTCCGGGGTGACTTGTCACGCGTCTTAGCAAGCTCTAGATTAAAGAGTCTAATTAGATTCGTGTATGTCCACACTGTCTTATTATCCTCCGTGATTACTTTCTCAATTTGTTTAGTGGCTATATCAATTTGCATTTCTGAATAAAAATTTTCCTGTAGTTGCTCATCTTCTCTCCTTCCCACTTTCAAGGCTCTTCCAAAACTTAGCTTGATACGTTTGTGAACACTACCCAGACTTCTGGAGCCACCTTCATCTATGTGCATTCCCCTGAGCTTATCCTATATCCTATGTGACATCAGTGCATAATCTATCGTCGACTGCAGCCTTCCTACCTCCCATGTTATTTGCCCTTCACACTTCTCGGTACTGTTGCAAATGATCAAATCAAGCCTTTCACACATATCCATGATCATTTTGCCTGTCGGGTCGGTATACCCATCTATATCTTCTATATGCGCATTCATGTCTCCTAGTATAATTATCTCGCACTCTCTTCCTAACTCCTGAATGTCCTTTGATATGCACTCTACCATTGCCTGGTTTTCCTCTCTGGCCTTTGCTCCCGTCCACAAGTACGCGAAGCCAAGGAGTGTCATTTGACCTGCCTCTTTCCCTTTTAGCCATAGTGTCGGTATTGAGCGCTATCGCGCGGACTTTTTTAAAACTTAAGGCTGGTCAACTCCGCTGGGAGCGTGAGCCAGTCCTCAGGCATCTTTCTAGAGACGGCCACGGAGGAAAGAAAGAAGGAACCTTTCCTTCCTCCGTGGCCAAGGTATAGGCTGCGGCTACAGTGTACTAGAATTCTAGTACACTGTAGCTGCGGCCTTCCTCCCTTGCTGCGGCAGCACATGGTTGCTCGGAGGTGAATGCCACCTAGACCATAGAAATTCTATGGCCTAGAGACCCCGCAAATGTGCAGCACGGCTCTTCAGAATCCGCGCTACTGTCAATGTCTCCTTTACTGGATGCATAGAGTTTCCTATAAATACTTTGATGTTAGGAAGCTCTATGAATAAATTTAGGAAACCGTGATTAAGCCGGAGAGAAACGCGTCGCGCGTTTGTCATCTCGGAGGCCATGTCTAAGTCCACGTTGTTGTTTATTCGCCGCGAGATCGCAGTGGCAGCACCGTCGCCTAGTCGTTAGTGTGGATCGTGCGGATGGTGGTGGTGGTGGTAGACGGCTTTCACTTATCGTGGTTTTGGTTTCACATATCGTGGTTGACCCGCACCAATCTCTCTGTTTTTGATGGTGAGGTATTGTTCGGTTCCACAATGCAATACATACTGCACCGAGCCAGGGGTAAGCTTCCACTTTTATCCCACCGACGCGGAACGTCGTCGAGTGTGGCTAGTCGTGCTTCGAAGCGGCAAGGCGCCATCCAAGTACGCGATGGTGTGCAGCAAGCACTTCGACGACAGTGCGTTCCTGCATTCGCGGACGGCAGAGGAGGGCAAGTAGTCGGCGACCATAACTTATTTAACGTGTGCTTGTTGCTGCTGTGCACTGCGACCGTAAACGATCGTGCGGACAAGCTTCGCCGGGAATGCCAGGCACCCTGTACCTTCATTTTTGTGCACGATCCGCATGTAAATTAATCGAGTCTATAAGCATGAAATTAATTTTGTATTTATGTATCCTTCATGTACCGTTTGTGCTGTAAGCCCCGCCGTGGGGCTAAGGTACTCGGGTGTTCACCCGCAGGTCGCGGGATTGAATCCCGGCTGTGGCGGCTGTATTTTCTATGGAGGTGAAAATGCTGTAGGCCCGTGCGCTCAGATTCGGGTTCACATTAAAGAATCCCAGGTGGTCGAAATTACCGGAGCCCTCCACTACGGCGTCTTTTAATATAATATGGTAGTTGGGGGCCGTTAAACCCCACATATCAATCATTCGTTTGGGCTGTAAATGCAAATTTCGTGCGCGCTTGGCTGTGAGTCTGTTTAATCCCCGAGCTCTTGTAGTTTGTGTATGGTCGTACACAGCTGCGGGAACAGTTCTCAGTGTTCCCAAGTGTGAATACGACCACCGAAACGTGACAAGTGTGTATGCATGACGTGTGTATACACGACAGAGCCAAATAAAGCAAAAATTTTTTTTTTTGCGATTTGGGAAAGGTGTCCTTTTGTGCATATTTTCCACATTTGTGCTATTTTTAAACGGCGTTTGTTGTGGCACAAAATCAGTTTTTCTGAGAGCAAGTAATGAGTGAAAATGCACGCTAGCCCAAGCCCCTCGTATGCACTCTGTGTGCACGATCTATTTTCCGAGTAAAAATTCATGTATGAGAGTCAGAATGCTTGTCTAGAGTCAGCTGTCAGGTGACTGTTGAAGCAGTCTGAAGACACTGTGTGCCTTTGTATTCACACTTCGTCTACGGAATGCGTCGGTTCGAACATTTTCAGCTCTTACGTTCCTTACACCTTGTGTTTGTAGTACTTGTCGATAAGCTTAGATGCTAGGGGGTGAAGAAATTCTTCAGCAATTGCAAATTTCATGGCAACGCTAAAAGTTATCTCGTATGTCTGAATAAATGCTAGCAAATGACTGAGGTGCTGAATGCTGAACCAGCTAGCTCTCCATTGTTGAACCTCTCAGCCTGGTGTAAGCGTTGAGCTTTTGGCAATTGAGTCGGAGAGTCTTTGCTGTGCTTATTTAAGTTCAGAGTGTTAGGGATTCTGACATTGGATATTGTTCTTGCATTTAATCATGGTACTATTGCACAAGCCGAAATTCTGCTGAAGTAGTTGGTATTGGAGCCTTGCATATTACAGTCGATTTGTTGGAAAACATTGACTACATTGAAAGTACATTGTGTATAGAGCTGCATGATATCTCACAAAAGATGTAAGGCAAGCATTACGAGAGGCTCCAAAGTAAAAAACTGATCTACCAATGATTATTAAGTTTGTAGCTTCGAAATAAAATAGTTGAATAGTGTTTATGACAAAGTGTGATTGCCTTTCAACTGTTTTCTAACATTAAACTAGATTATCTCAAAACTATGTTTCTTACTACTTAGGCACAATTATTTGCACTGAACTCCTAAATAACCACTTCATTACTTTTTTTGTACTCTGCATAAATACATACAGCCCCTGAAGCATAATTGAAGTCATGCACTTTACAGTTCTTGTGGTACAAATTTTTATTGATGCCAATTGATTCAAAAGTTGGGTCCTTGTGGTAAAAAATTCACGAAAGTTCTGATAAAATATCCAGATTTAAATATATTTGCTTCAGTTAAAAGAGCTGAAACTTTAGAAGAAAATAATGTATGGATTATGGTAATATTTCTTTTAGTGCTCTGAGAAACCTCAAAATGACCAAAAATGCATGTGACGTATAGGGTCTACCCAGTGCCCTTGTGCTTGGCTGCTGACCTGAAAATCACACTTTTGATCGCGGCCACTGGCGGGCACATTTTGATAGAGGCAACTTGCTACCCGTGTATTGTGCGATGTCAGTGCTCGTTATAACATCAGATCTTGCAAATTTTTGAAGCCCTCCACTACAGCGTTCATCCTCGTTTTGTGATGTGAAAGCCTAAATATTATTATTACATCACATAAACTCATTTCAGCTACCGGCCCGTCGTCACAAAATTTAGCCATGGAGAAGGCCGGGCAGTATACGTAGGAAGCAGGGGTTGGGGTAGGTGGGGGCTGAGTTTAAGAAGATGTCAGTTAAAAGGACACTAAAGTCAAATAACAATTTATTTCAGAGTGAAAGCTCAATGTATGACAACACCTAAAATGACAATATTATCAACAACAGTGCCCTACATACGGAGAAATTAAAGGGGCACTGACACAAAAAATTTGGCCTCTCGTTCTGCTGCTGCGATGCGTTGCTGTAGGACTGTTAGTCATGACACGACACTGTTTGCTGAAACATTCGATAGATAATTAATTACAGGCCCCTCATTATTGATTCAGAACTCACTTCAGAACTAAGCAAAGCTGTCTGTGTTGTATTCAAACTTTCAGATTTAATTCCTTTACTTCTCAAAAAGGCAATAAATTATGTACATTTCTACTCCTGATTATCATATTGCACACTTGTCTGGGGTACCACAACTTCTAATTACAGAAAACTGGAAACAATGCAAAAGAAAGCACTCAAGCTATTTGAGAATTATTCTGGTGAGCCAAAAGACTTACCAACAGATCCCTTATTTATTAAGCATAGTTTGCTTGAACCAAGCAATTTATATGTCTATGAACTCCTCATGCACATACATAAACATAATCTGCTTGACATCGCACATGAAATGTGACAACTGTCTCTTCTACGCCATAAGTAGGCACCAATAGCACCAACATGTGCAAATTATGGAAGATCAGTCCTCACTTATCAGATACCCGCCCTAATAAACAATGTGTCTTTACAAATAAACTTTGGTGTTCCACTTTATCAATTTAAAAACAAATAAGACTATTCCTATTAAATGAGCACACAGCCATTGCAGCATAAGCTCATGTATGTTGCCATACCATATTTTTTGCATTATCCAACATTATTATGTTTGAAATGTTCAAATTTCTTGCATGTACTGATCTTATTCACTTTCCTTTATATTGGTGTGTTGAACGTTGATGTGCATTTTTCTGTAACATTCATTTCGTGGTATCAGTGCATTATGTTGTATCTTTTTATTAGTTTTCTTTCGTACCTCTGTTGTTTATATAACAAGTTGTATAAGTTATATAATTTTTTTGCTCTGTGAATATCCATGCTCTCCCTTGACACAAGAGTAACACTACAAGGTTTCTGGACCATGATTTCAACAATCAACGTCGACTTAATAGTTGACTTTAGTGTCCCTATAACATTGCGTTTTTAAAGAAAGCCGATCCCATATCTGATATATGGGTAATTTCTAAAGGGCATTCGACCTCAGGTTTCGAGAAGCATATTGTACTAATCTACGCAATGACTAACACCAGGATGCTGCACTTTGAAGTATAGAGTTTTTTTTTGTTCCGTGGTGATGTTTCAATGCAAGGTGACTGCATAGGGTTGTCTTGCCTGTTTAGCTTACCCCACAAAAAGTTAGTAATCACAATACTTGAGGAAATAATGCAGGAACAGTCACCAAGTCATAAAAGAAATATAGGATGAAGGCCATCATTTGGAGGCCAAAAGCGACAGCTCAGCGGGCCGTACCTGTCCTGTGGGCCTCGTGTTTGAGACACTTGACACAAGCGATGAATGAACATGCATGAGCATGTTCACAGGCACTGTTGATCTTTGTATTTTCTGTCTCTCTCCTTTTAAGGGTTCAAACGGAAGAGATTGAGGCCTGACGCACTTCCGACACGGAACTTGCCAAAGCGCACACTTGACATGCATAAGCTGCCTCGGAAGCCACCGGGTAAGTGCAGCCGGCAAGTTGTATCGATGCATTCGGACCTGCAAACAACAAGTTTAGATACTCCCGTGTTGTTGCTCGATAACACCCCTTTTTGATTAAAGTTACCCGAGTGTCTTCCATAACCCCTCAATTACCTCTTCGTTTAATTCGTAACAGCAAGAAGACCTCCTGTTTCAAGGCAATCACAAAGGCCTATAAACATAGCCAACAACGTTTCAGGTCAGTTAGAAATTTCGTTGAAGCTGTCCAAATTACAAAACTAATTTTGGCTGCTTTTAGTAAACTTTTTGTCACAGTCTTTCTGATGTGGTATGTCTAACGGTTGTGATATGTTGTCCATAACTTTTATTTACTGCAAAAATCAGTGGTTATTTTCATGAGCACACATTTCTTTAATTTTGTCTGCATCTGCTCTTTTCCTTTTTTTTATTCATTGGCTTACTATATAAATACTTTCTAATGTTTCATTTTTATTGGTCACTGGTGGCTTTTTGAATACTAATATTTACATGCATCGTTTCTCATTGTACGATTGGTACAATGAGAAATGGTACTACCTTATTGAAAACCTACAGAAAATGAGGCCAAGAAATGTATACAAGACGATTATTATACTACTGTTTTTAATTGTGTGGTTGTAACTTGTGTCATTGTTCATATGGTTTTCTTCAGTTCTGTCAGGCATATGTATTTATTTCTCCTGTTATAATAACAAATTAATTTAAAACCTGCACCTGTCTGTGTCTATTTCGTCCTTCACCAAAAAACATTTTGCGCAAGAAGTAGTATCGATCCATGTGTATGCCACAAAAACGCACAAGTTGTGTTCCCGAGACATGAGCTGCGCACTGGTATAGAAGCTAAACATTCTATATAAGTATGAGGAGGGGTCCTCTTGCTTAGATGACATGTCTTGCAGACCTTGTAACAAAGTGCAGATTCAATGCAAGAACGTGCCATTATGTTCAAAGGGAGAGGATGATTGTCATCCAGTTTTAGCTCTACTGTACCAGTCATGCACTAGATTATAAAAAGAGAGCACATCCTGCTCTGCGTCCTGCTCAGACGGGAAGTCGACCTGCTGGATAATAACTGATTTGAGCAACTCTGCTGAGACAATCTTCACCCCATTAAACAGCAACAGTACACGCATAAGCTACAGCCGAATAGTGGAGGCCCTCCAAACCAGCATTGATGAAGGAAAAGAGCTGATGACCATGGAGCTGCTGCACAAGCACTCATACACTGCAATGAGGGTATGGACATGCTTTCTTACATTGGAGCAGTTTTTTTATTGTTTAATAATGAGGTAGCATGAAAAAGCTCGTTTCACATCCGGCATTGGTGTCGTTGGTTGTGAGCGAAAAATAATCTTATGCGTGACCGAAATATTGGAAATGATGGCAATAAAATAAATGATAAAAAAATTTTGAGTCAGAGTGTGGATCGAACCGGCTACTGCAACATGAAATATTTCAGTACTAATGTGTGGTACGAGCACCCATTTCCAGCAGGTGTCAGAACATGTGATTATTTTAAGGAGTTCCTGGTTTTAAGCCGGTCACCCACTACAAAAAGCACACACGCTAATACGTTCATTTCCCTAAAGGCCAACTCCGGCTATTTTTCGAGGTCAATAGCTCTCAGTGAAATTTGCTGGGTACGTTTATTTGCATTTTTCCATTATTTGTCCCCATTTGCAGGCTGAAGAGATCCGTAGATTTTTTACAAATGAATTTTATAGATTGCCCCGACTCTCCCAAGCGGCTTCCAACAATTATTGGCAACATTGTGTTTGTGTGTGTGTGTGCCAACGCTTACATCAATGCGACGGAAGTGAAGGAACTGAGGTGCCACTACATTGTCTGCTGTTCATAAGGCAATGATCGCGTGTGTTGCTCAGCCAACTTTTCGTTTGTTCGGCGCGTGAATTTCAGTTCATTTTTGGGCTTTCTAGCAATAGGTGGCAGGCGGTGTTGCGTTGTGGTTGCACACAATTTCCAGTATAATAACCTGAACATTGAGGGAACACTCGGAGGTTACAATCATCTTTCGTATTGATATTATATATTATTTTAGCTCGCAGTGCCAGCTCACTTCACACAAACTGTGTTGATACTATACCCGCATAATAAGGTTTCACATTGAGTTAGTCTACTAAGCAAGCACATTACCGCATGGAAAAACGTGTTATAGCGTATACAGGGCCTAGTGGGTCATGCGAAAAGGTGCGCGTACTTGGCCTAAATTAATTTTCCTCATCCCTGCCAGTGCAATTTGAAACTTCGCTATATATATTGACTCTGTCTATTGCAATAATAAAAAGCTTCAGTTAGTTTGCAATCTTTTCAGCGATAGAATTTTGACGATCACGGCCCCACAAACTTGAGCAGCTTGGACAGGTGGCACCATCTTACATTGGAATGCACAACCAGCAATCGCCATTCCTCTTCGGCAATTTTACTTGGCCTCCGCATGTGTCAGAATCTCAGCTGTCATTTTTCGACAGCTCTGAGGAGCTTGTGCACAAAGCACAGTCAGTAACACAGAGGTGAAAGTGCTGCGCCATGCTGTGTCAATCTGGCCTGCTGTGCCAAGCCGCACCTGAATGGCAATTTGCACGTGCAATGCCAAATTTAGTCGAGAGTTTTATCATCGACCGAGCAACATGCATGGGCTACATAAAGGACGCAACCGCGTCTATGTAAATTTCCGCGTCCATATCAAACTTCATACTTTGGATCATGCATGAATCTTGCGCCACGTGGACACAATGCATGATTCTTGTTAAGGTGGCGTTTGTGTGAATACCTCATTATGCGACTTTATATATGTTTTAACAGTGAAGCTGTCAGGGAAACTATGAAGACGGCAGTGGTGTTGCAAAAAAACTTGCTGCACCGTTGCAGAGCAACCGCCAAGTGTGTGCTGTGCTCGGCGAATGCTTGGCAATGGTGCGGCGAGTGTTTTGCGGTATAAGGTGAAAAAAAAAAATAAATATCAGTGTCACCAGTGAAGCGATGACTGTAATAGCAACAATTGTAATGGTGATGCCGCACTTGCTTCTTTCTTTCTATTTTTGTTACTGCACCAATGCGAGTGTACTGCTGCATTGTGCAAACTGCGCCTGAATGACTGGGGACCATCTAGATAATCTTATAACCTTCCGATAAGATTACGGGCACAACGTGAACATTACAGTTTGTTCTGGAACTTATATGACCGCTCGCGTTAACGCTGTAATCTTTGATGGCAGATGTATAAGTGCTGACGCACTTTGTTGCGTGGCAGATTACAGACGACCGACGCTCTGTGTTCACTGCTATCAGTCTACAGCATGGATTGTTTGTAGAGTCACGTTTCCTTTTCCGGGCACTGGTTAGCCCTAGTATTAGTTCATTTATGAAAACAGCAGCTGCTGCCTTCGTTGACATCACGACTCTGACAATACGAAGGCTGACAGGTAACTCTTTTGGATCTGACATCGTGGCACTGACAGCTACAAAACTCTGGTGTAAGAGAATAAGTACACCTGTTCCAGGGAGAAATGCTCTTATCACATAATATCTTCCCAATGAGAGCGCACTACGTAAAACAGTTTACGAGTTGTGCGCTGATGCTTGGCGATATCGCACGCACCAGCTATCACAACCACGCCCTTGATTAGAATGAAAATTCACAGCTGCTGCTCGAGCGACCCCCCTCTTTCGCCCACGTCTTTTCTTGCTCGTTCAATAAGGGTGGCGTGTTTTTCTCTCTGCTTGAGCATTCGACAATAGTTTCAACACACAGTGAGATGCTAAGGCGTGCGCCCTCAGAGCAATGGAGATCAGCCGTCTCATTTAATCTCTGCTCAGCAGTGCTCATCACCCCAGCTTGAGCAGTTTTACGCGCGGGTCGGACATACGCTGTGCGAGGAATGGTACTAACTTACAGTTTACTTGGAACATGGCAGCGTTGGCAAAAGCTTGTCGAGTGTCCATATAATTCCTATCGTAATGAAAAAATGTTCACTTAATTGCCTAGAAATGGTGCATTGAGGGCATCTAACTTTTCTTGTGGTTATCATGTAAGCTGTGGCGTGTCAGTGACTGGTACATAATAAAAAGTTTTTACATTTATTTTTATAGAGCCTAATAGGTTCAATATGAAGATAACTTTTATTATATAGTAGCTCATCTTTAGTCTTGACTTGCTGTTCATATTGGGTGTGGGGTTTCAATTACATTTTGAACATTTCAACATTTTGGCATTAAACTTTTTGATTCGTCTGAGGTCTAGTAGCTGTGCAGAACGCCGCTCATGTTTTTTTTTTTTGAGTTGCTAAACTTTAACCTTTGATAAAGTAAGGTTTAATACATATGAATCGTGGGTAAGTCTGGTTGCTTGATCAGCATTTGCATGCTTAGTAAAAACCATGGACGTTTTTCGTGTTTAGCAGAAAGCAAAAATTTTAATTAACATGTATGTATGGCCTGAAAAATCTGCTCCAAAACTAAATTTTTATGCTCCAAAACACAACTCTTACTGCTCTAGAGCAGCTCCAAAACCGCATTATTCCTGCTCCGAAAGCTGCTTCCACCCCTGGTAACAGAAATGATGCAACTATTGCGATGGGGTCACCTTTTCCCTAAGCGTCTGCTATTCGCCGCCTTTCACAAGCAGCTTTCATACTCCATGCTGGTGAGATGGGCAGGCCTTGCACAGTTTTCGGTTTGCATGGTCTTTACCAACGCTTACGTCACACGAAGGAAGTTCTGCAGTTGGGTTTCGGTTTCAATGTTGCACTTTCTTGCATATTTAAAATTGCTTTAAACTTTGCCGAGTATTATGCTATTTGGCCCATGATAGGAGCGTCTGGGGTACATAAAAGAACCATTACTTTGACATGGTCAAAAATCGGTGGAGTTGGCTTTTAAGGCCACGTAGTTGGTACATCGCAAGTTCGAAAAGATTTCTTGCAATAAATGTTTTGAAGTACGAACTAGGAACAGAAGGTTGCTATCATGTTCAACTCCTGAAGGCGAGGCTTTAGGGTCCCCTAATTTTTTAAAACATGTTAAATGTCAAGGGATGGCATGACTAAAGATAGTTTAACTGCCTGACAATGGCCCTACCACCCAAGCACTGTTCAGCAGGGTTTTGAACATGTACAGTAGAAAGGGGAAGCACTGAAAACATCACATAGTACTATCAGCAATAGCTGAGAATACACGTATAAATAATATAACATTATTTTTCTTTCTGAGTTCAAAGCGACAGCCCCTGTGCAGCCATTCACAAGAGAGACAACATACTGGATTCGAGACAATACTCTGAGATGACGCGCTCAGCAAATGAGAAGCAGCATAAGTTCGTTCAAGAAATCATTTGCCATGTCACAATGCCTGCACCGCACCCACCAGCTGTGGAAAGACTTCTGTGCTCATTCTAGTGATGGATGTGTGCAATCGGCACTTCAATAACACTTCTGAAAGAGACAGCAATGCCTACAACGCTACGTCACCTGCACAAGCACTGTTTTAAAGCAATTGTTGCAGGGGGGCAATGACTGGCATTCTGCCTTGAAGCTCACCCGACAAAATCAGTACTCAGAATCAACAACGTAAGCATCTTCTGATGAGATTTCCGCAAGGGTAGCTGTGTGATCAATGACAAAATCAGCATGCTCTCAGCACATGTCTTCACTATGATTGGCAGTGGACTACCGCAAACTTTACTTAAGATCAACTGTTCAGTGCATTAGATGTCACCTCAGGCAGAGATCTCAAGCAGTCGCGTACAGCCACAGCAAGTAAAGTTTACAGACTGCCGATACTGAAAAAAGTTTTTCAGCTCTGAAGGGACATCGTCTCGCTTGCCTTTTCCCTCATTCAAGCGATATGCCGAAAAGACGTTGCATTCTCATGGATACTTGCCTAGATGGTAGACAGTAGGGCTTTGGGACCCGAAGAAATGAGTCTGATTGAAAGAAGATGTAATGGCATATTGAATGTTAGCAGTTGCACCTAATGCAGTGAGGCTCTACTGCTCCAACACCTATGCTGCCAACTTCAATGCAGAGATTACATTGCTCGTAGTAGACAACTTTGTACATGTACATAGAAAGAAGAAAGACACCTATATTAATGAATCCTCATTAAAAGAAAATTTATGGCAAGAGAGAGCCAATGCATTCATACAGTGATGGCCTATCTGTTGCTTTTCATCGTGTTTGCATGTGGAAAGCCTTACATGAATACTTTAGCTGATGTAACAGTGCACTGCATTAATGCTTATATTAATATAATGTTTATACTAATGTAAAAAGATACACTTAGGGTTTCTAGCTCAAATGCTATACTGACAGCAGGAATGGCCTATGCTATATTTTGCCGTTTAATCATGCAATAGAGGAGTCATATCTTGCCACAAGAGTTTGAATGAAATTCTTGTGTATCTAAAGACTGTCTTCACTTGCTGATGCAGATGGGCTGCTCAAGAGGTGCCCCTGTGGTCAAGTGCTCAACACGAATGATGCGAGCCAGTTGCCAGGTTGGGAAGTGAGGAGGGAGGTGTCCATCCAGTGTGACTTGCAACAGATGCCCCCTCTGCCTCTCCCCATGGGGATTGGTGAGTATAATGCAGATGAGCTCGCGCAGATTGGCAAGGTGCAGCAGCGATGCAACTTAGATGAACATATGAGATGTCGATTCTACTTAAGTACGAACCATAATATAAAAATGTACTGGCTGTTTGCCTGATCACCAGCAGCAGGTATGCGTACCGATGCTACGCCCGTCTGGGTAGGGACATATTATTCCTCTTCCAAGCTGGGCAGCTAGTTTTTATAGCCACTACTGGTGACGCATACCTCTGGTGACACTGCGATGGAGGTCTGTATTCTCAGAAACAGAGTGAAGTGCGTAGCCATGTTAGGCTGGGCTGGATAATAGCGAGGCAGAAGCTGTGTGGAAATATCTGTGGAGTGAGTCGCCCCAAACACGAGAAGATGGTTAAAACAATTCAAGCTCCAACTATGTATGAGAGTCAACTTGCTGGGTCTTCTTTATGGAATTTCTACAAGACAGACCCAACAGCACATCCGAACAGCATTTCTTGCCTCATCTTATGCTGACAGCATAAGAGCAATAACTATGCATCACTATGATGCAAAAGAACGTGGGAAAAACAAAATATTTAAAGGAACTGTCTACTGTCACTCATCACTTTTTTTTTGTATCGCAATAAAAAGCATGCCATCTGAACTGTCCAACCTTGCTGTAGTTTCTCCAGAAAGTGTATAGAAAATTTTACAACATAATTTTTTTATTTGTGTTTGGTCTCTTCCATTGTTGTGACGAATGCCCACGGCAGTGGTTGATGACGTGATGGAGATTGTAGTGCCAGTGTAAGTTGAAAAACTGGAACTGCGAGCACTTTTTGGAGGCTTATGAAGTTTTGTTTAATAATGAAATAAATACCATAGTTGTTGTTTAAAACATGCAAATTATAAAATAAAGTATTATTACCATGGTTTCTCCAGCTTTGAAAACCACTGCATACGAGTGGAAAAGTTGGTCTGTTCCAACAACACTGTTGTGTCAGAATTGTGAAATGAACTGTAGTACTTCCACTCATGCCAAATGTGCTGCTAGGACGAACATGAGAGGTGTGTCGCAGAAACGAGACAAGACAAGCGTTGACACTACTGCGTTCGATGCGAACAAAAGCAAGAACCCTCTTTTTCTTTTTTGCTTTTGAGTGTCTACAGTCCTCCTCTTGGCTATCTTTGCCGTCCAATGAGTAAGATCAGACTATTTTTTATTACTGAATAGGGAAGTGTACTTTGTATAGTACACTTGGCCTTAATGGGTCAGTAATATAAAGTGTAAGACGATGCGGAGGCAAATTAAAGCGACCCAAATTGAAGTGCATATATTGTAGGAAGCAGAATATCACCCATATCAAGTTACCTGGAGACAAAAAGCATCCAGGAGAGAAAGCTTTGGATAATAATGGTTTAATTATGCTTGAGTGCTTTGAAATGGTTGAGCATTTAAACCACTTACTCCTTTAGCATATGACATGTTTTGATGCATGGTGTGGTTCTACGCTTCTGCCAGATGGCATTATGTCAATTAAGGAAACCCTCGTCTTAGATGACATTCGTATTGTAGTTCCTTTTTTTTTTACTGCAGAAAGATGTTACAATCAAGCTTTGTCGTTGATAGAAAATTATGTTAACACCTGCGCACGCTCAATGACCGCCCAAGCACACTTTACTGTAATGAATACATAGTGGCACACGCTCAATGACTGCCCAAGCATATTATACTAATGGATAATAATAGAAGCTAAATTTTTGTGGGATTAGCCCAATTTCTGTGGCACAAATGGGCTATTGAAATTTTACAGCAGAACCGTAAGGGTCAAGGTTTCCTGTGCACCACAGATAGAAAATTATAATTATAATCAATTCGACAGAGACTTCAGATCTAGTAATGCTATATAAATCAGCCCCAATCTAACATATATTCACGTGCAGTGCTGTAGGTGATCTGTAGGTGCTGTAGGTGAAAAAACTGAAACACTTTGTCTGAGAAAAATTTGTCTGCAAGAAATTATTTCTTCTTCATTTGAGTGCGCGGGAAAAGAATGTTTGAACACACGTTGGCAAGCACATACTTGCCTATCGTTTGGGCCGAAGCATCTAATAAATTATGTGAGCCACCTGTAGCTTCTTCCAACCTTTTTCGTGGGTCCAGCTTTTTAGCTTTATCTGAAGCTCCTTACAATTCTATTTATACGTTATCTACATTGTTGTGCCCAACACTTGTGAACTTTACTTTGCAGTAGTAATCCAAGTATGTCTCTTAGAGATGCTAATTTTTTAAATCTAGTACTGAGTCATGAGATATGTCTTCATTAGCTGCATATCATTCTGCTGATTTTGTTGATGGTGCAGCATGATCTTAACTGCTGGTCATCATGTAATTTTAGGGGTAATTTTCAGCAGCACTTGTGCAGCCAAAAGTTCAAAGTAGGTATTCAGGCACCACCTTTCTATCTAGCAGTGCATATACATTCCTTTGAAAAGGAATTTAATGCGAGCTGATTTTATTCATTATAGTTATGGCAATAGCATTGTGGAAGTATTGCTGTAGATTGGTTTGTGTGTGAGCGTGAACTTGCAGCAAAAAGCTTGGAGTACATTTAGCTCATGTTAGTATATTTTTTTTTTACAAATTGCAGTTGCATCGGCCCAGTCAGCATCAACTGGCAACAATGCCGAGGAAGGAAGAGACCATAGCACGGGCAAATCATCAAAAAATGAATGGCGGTTTGAGTGCCGTCTTTGCGAGTACTCAACGCCTAAAGGTTACAATTTAAGATTGCACCTGTTAACTCACCGTGCCGAGAAACTTTTCGAGTGTGAGGTCTGCCCAGCAGCTTTTAAGAGCTTGTCATCTTACAGAGCCCACTTCTGCAAACATACGGGGGAAAGGCTCTACCAGTGTGACCTGTGCCCATATTCGACTGCTTACAAGTCACACGAGTTAAAGCACAAAAAAACTCACATGAATGCCTGCACAATGTGTTCATACAGAACTAAAAGTGAGTCAAGCCTCCGTATACACAAACACCGACACTTGAGTGATAAGCCTTTCAAGTGCAAAGTCTGTTATCTTGGCTTCACTCAAAAGTACTACCTAGAGAACCACATGCAACAACATTCGGAGTCCGAGTTGTCCTGAAGAGTGTGGGCTTTGTGAGAGCAGCGTCCACCATCAAGCACCGTGAAGGAGGAGTAGATGCATGTGCAAGCCAGGAGTGGAAGCTGAACAAAACGGGGTAAGCACTGTTGATGCCCATTACCACACATGTTCATCCCTGTTCGGTGCATTCACTTTATCTGAGATGAACTTCCCCTACAGAGCTTTTTATGCTTACCTATCCGGAATTATTAGGCACGTTGCAGTGTTACATTTTCGAACCTTTACTTAAAGCTTTGTGTCCATATTGACGATGCATGCTCACTGGGCGGTTCTGCCACCTCGTTGGACTGACAAGAAACATTTGAAATGATTTTGCTTGTGGAGATGAACAAACTACCCAGTAATCAGGCTTTACAGACGCGATCTGTAGCGTTGCACAGTCTGAAGAGCACTGTTACGACCGGCCCTGGGGAACCGGCAGGACGAGTTTGGGGGAGAACCGGTTCTTGACCGACGGTGTCGTCCACCCCCACCTCCCCATTCGGGCTCCTCCTCTTGCTGGGAGAGCTCCGGGGTCTGCTGTGCGTTCGTGACCATGTTTGGTAACATTTTGGGGCGCCGGGACCATATATGGACATCGTGTTGGGTTGTGCCACTCCATGTGTTGTGAGAGGTGTTTCCCCCTCCCTCGTGGCCGAGGTGCCGGGGACACCGTATTGGCTGACGATGCGGACAAGGCGCCCAGTGTCAACAACGTGGCGCTATAAAATGCTGAAGACGTTTTGTATCACTCTCACTCTTCTCTCTTTGGGTCAGTTGACCACTTCTCCACATGTAAATAAATCTCTGTTGTTCGTTCGGGCGCTTCTTCTCGCTGAATTGTTGGACGATGGATCCTGCGACGGGGCCAGCTACCGACAACGAGATCGGCAGGACCCGGAGTCCCAACAACTGGATGGCAGCGGCGGGATGCCGATAACCCCGAAAGCGACCACTGGACGGAGTGAGCCCGAAGTTCAACAACGGGATGACAGGAGAAGGAGGACACGAGCTCATCGACTTCCAGAGGGAATCGAACGGCACTTCTGAGAGGCACGACGCCGGAGACATGACTGCGAACTGGGTGAGTGCCGGCTTTCTCTGTTAAATTTTACCAGGCATTTACTCTATGTGTTAAGTAAAAGCTGGTAGAGAGGGGCTGTCTTGGTCATTGGGTTAACAGGTAACTTGCGTCAGGCAGAAATTGTGTGAAAGCTTGGTTAAGCTCTTTCTGTCAGTGGCGTCAAGGTTAACAGTGACAGGGCAGGATTCCGTGTAAGAGCTTTTGAAGCTTTATTTGTAGACTAAGTTAACGGAAAACTTGAGGCAAGGCAGGAACCTAGAGCTGTCGTTGCCGTCAAGGTTAATTAGTTGCAGGACAGGAATCTTTGTGGAACAGAGACAGCGGTACTGGAGGCAGCCATGAATCTGAAATCCCTGCGAAAGTCCATGTTGTTGCTACTTGCAAGGGAGTTGAATCTGGAGGTGTCGGACTCTCAAAGAAAGCCAGAGCTGATAGAGGCGATTCTCGCATTGGGGGCGGAGGATGACGAGCTGTCAGAATGTGTCGAGGAGATTCAGGAGAGGCAAGCGGCAGAGGCCGAAAGAAAGGCGGCGGAGGCCGAAAGGAAAGCGGCAGAAGCCGAGGCAGATAAGATGCGAAAGCACGAGCTTGAAATGAAGCGCCTCGAGCTAGAGATTAGCCATAATAGTAGAGCAGGAGACAGCGAGGCATCCGGTACAGCAGAGCGGGTCAGGTTCAAAATGACGGACCTAATGAGATCGTACAAGCTAGGGGAGGACATTGGGCTGTTCCTCGTCAACTTTGAGAGAACTTGTGAAAGGCAAGGTTTCAGCCAGGATACATGGTCTCAACGCTTGTTGTCCCTACTTCCGGGGGAGGCCTCAGAAGTAATCGCGCGCCTCACGAAAGAGGAGGCTGACGAGTACAGGGAGGTAAAGTCGAGCCTTCTCAAGAAATACAGGTTGTCAGCGGAAGGTTTCAGACAAAAATTTCGCAACGCCGTAAAAGAGAGCAATGATTCATACCCGGAGTTTGCTTACAAGTTAATGGCCAACATGGGGGAGTGGCTGAAGAGGCAAAGGCGTATGGGAATCATGACAAGGTGCTCGAGTGTATCGGTCTGGAACAATTCTATCAAAGGTTACCAGAAAAGGTGAGGTTCTGGGTGCAGGATAGACCAGACGTGAACACCGTAACAAAAGCCGCAGAGCTCGCTGAAGAATTCGTTACGCGCCGCGCCCTCGGGGCAAACAGCGAGCCTAAAAGGGAAAAATTCCTACTACCGAATAAGGCGCCGTTTAGAAAACAACCGACAAGTCTCGCACAAAAGGGTGAGGAAAACAATTCATCTAACCATGGGGCGTCGGCAGAGGCAAGCAAAAGGAAATTTGAGGCGAGAAAACCGGCGACTTGTTTCAATTGCCACGAAACAGGGCACTTCGCAAAACATTGCCCGAAAGAAAAGGTGGCCTTTTTATCTATAAATGAAGCCGACGAGAACATGAAGTTGTTAGAGCCCTATATGTACGACCTTACCGTGAACGGCAAGCAGTGTCGGGTTCTTAGAGACTCCGCAGCCACTATGGACGTAGTTCATCCGTCTTTTGTTCAGTCCGGACAGTATTCAGGAGACTGTGCCTGGATTAGACAAGCCGTAGAAGCAAACAGTCAGTGCCTCCCCGTAGCTAAAGTTGTCCTTAAAGGCGCATTTGGTACGTTGGAAACGGAAGCCGCGGTATCGCCATATCTACCCCCTCAGTATCCTTACTTATTTTCAAATAAGTCAGATCAAATGCTGAAGGAGAAAGGTCTAACGTTGGGAGAAGGCATAGTGCAGGCACTGACTAGATCGAAGGCACGTGCGCTGGCTGCGAGAGCAACATTCACTCAGGCAAACAAGCCTCAAATCGACAACGGGCCTGGTTGCGAGTTGGACACCACGGTAACAAATCGACTCGTGCGAGAACAGGCTGCAGAAGCCGTAGTCGCGGAGGCAACCATTCCTAAAGGCGACGTTGAACCTCCTCCCGAATTGGAAGGGGTCAATTACGCCTCGTTGACCGAGCAAATAGAAAATGCCGTTGCCCCCAAGCCGATTCCTGGTAGTACAGAGGATAGCACAGAGGGTGACACATTCCAGGTACTAGGAAATACAAAAGAGTTGTGTGTCATGCCAACTTCGCATAATTTCAGTCGGCTGCTGCAGGTGAGTCCCGCTTCATTAATAACCGAACAAAGGGGGGACCCGACGCTTAAGCAATTCCAGGACAGTTCGAAAGAGGGAATCGCCAAACGAAATGTGAGATTTCAAGAGAGGAGCGGCATACTCTATCGAAAATATCTAGATAGGCGAGGAGTAGAGTTTGACCAGGTAGTCGTACCTCAGGCGTATCGTCAGGATTTGCTTAGTTTGGTGCATGGAGAATCATGGTCAGGCCACTTAGGCGTAAAGAAAACGAAAAATCGTCTTTTACAGGAATACTACTGGCCTGGATGCTTTAAAGATGTAGAGAGGTTTGTAAAATCTTGCGATGTGTGTCAGCGAGTGGGTAAGCCGGGAGATAAGGCGAAATTTCCAATGAAGCTGGTACCCGTAATCACTGAGCCCTTTCGTCGGTTGGTGATTGACACAGTAGGTCCTTTGCCCAAGACAACTTCAGGCTACCGTCACATCCTGACCTTAATCTGCCCAGCTACTAAATTTCCAGAGGCGGTCCCGCTAAAATAGCTAAGTTCCGTGGAAGTAGTGAACGCACTTCTGTCCGTGTTTGCCCGGGTAGGCTTTCCTGCCTGAGATACAATCAGACCAGGGCACCATTTTCACGAGTGCCTTAACGACAACCTCTCTAGAGCGGTGTGGCGTGAAATTATTGCATAGTTCCGTCTACCATCCGCAGTCTAACTCGATAGAAAAGCTTCACTCCATGATGAAGCGAGTGTTAAGAGCCTTATGTTTTGAACGAAAAACTGACTGGGAAATGTGCTTACCTGCAACGATGTTTGCACTAAGAACTGCACCACATGAGACAACAGGGTTTACGCCAGCGGAACTTGTTTACGGCCGCAGACTGCGGTCTCCTCTTCGTATGCTGAGAGAGTCGTGGGAAGGTCAGGGTGATGATCCTGTAGTAGTGGAATATGTCCTCACCTTATTGGATCGTCTAACAAAAGCCCAAGAACTGACGGAGAGTGCGATGACCAAAGCACAGCAGAAGGCTAAGCTTTACTACGATCGGACAGCTAAAGCACGACACTTTGCTGTAGGAGACAGGGTCATGTTGTTGAGGCCCTCCCAAAAGAATAAGCTTGAAGTGCAATGGGTCGGCCCGGCCGAGATTACTCGAAAATTGTCTGACACCAACTATGTGGTAAAATTACCAGGAAGTCGTAAGGTACACCAGGTGTATCATAGCAACTTACTCAAACCCTATAAAGAGAGGGAAGCCATCGTGAACATGACTTTAAATGTTCCGGAAGAGGTTCCGGCAGAAATTCCTGAATTAGCTCCAGAATCGGACGAAGTCCCGATCGAGAAAAGAGTTGAGGATTCAGTGTCAAAGTCACAGCTGACAATGAAGCAGAAGCAGGAATTGCGTGGTCTTTTGACCGAGTTTCAGGACAGATTTGTAAGCGAGCCAGGCCGGACATCCGTCCTCACTCATGACATAGAGCTTACCTCGTCGGAACCGGTAAGATCTAAGACGTATCGGGTGTCACCTCGCCGGCTTGAGCTAATAAAAGCAGAGGTTAACAGGATGCTGGAATTGGGCGTGATTGAGCCGTGTGAAAGTGATTACACTTCCCCGTTAATTCTTGTGGAGGTGCCCGGCAAAGATCCGCGTCCTTGCGTAGACTATCGTAAGTTAAACCTCATCACCAAGGATCAGACATACCCAATTCCCCACATTGAGGAACGCGTCGAGAGGGTAAGCAGCGCGCAATTTATCTCAACGCTGGACCTAGTGAGAGGATACTGGCAGGTGCCGCTCACCGAGAGGGCGAGCCGGTATGCTGCATTTATTTCACCATTGGGGACATTCCGCCCTAAAGTGTTGAGTTTCGGCCTAAAGAACGCGCCTTACTGTTTTTCAAACTTAATGGACAAGGTTTTGCGGGGTCAAGAGGACTTCGCATTGCCTTACTTGGACGACGTCGCCGTGTTTTCCTCGTCCTGGCCAGAACACTTGGCGCATTTGAGAGCAGTACTGACACGCCTACGCGAAGCAGGTTTAACGGTAAAGGCGCCCAAGTGTCAGCTAGCACAAGCAGAGGTACTCTATCTCAGGCATGTTATCGGTCGAGGGCATCGCCGTCCCTCTGAAATGAAAGTGGCAGCTATCCGAGATTTTCCC